CCTCTTTCTCTCTCTTTTCCTCTTTCTCTCTCTTTTCCTCTTTCTCTCTCTTTTCCTCTTTCTCTCTCCTTTTCTCTTTCTCTCTCCTTTTCTCTTTCTCTCTCCTTTTCTCTTTCTCTCTCCTTTTCTCTTTCTCCCTTTTCCTCCTTTTCTCTCTCTCTCTCTCTCAGGACCCTATTAATCGAAAAAAGGGAATAACTCCAGTTGCTAAATGTAGGGGGAAATCCTCTTTCGCTTGGCGTAGCCAGAATCCATGTTTTGCGGGTCCTTCATACCGAAAATCGAAATCACAACGTCTCTGCGTCTACCAGGCCGTCTGTGAACAACGCTAGCGGCTAAACCGTTCAGTCAATTTTCTCTAATATTAATATTCCACAATTTTTCGCGGATATCGTGGCCCCTTGAATTTGAAACCGAATTTTTAATTTAGGGTTATTTTACATGAATCTCCTGCGACATTTTCAAATTTTCAAAAATATGGTTCCATCGTTTTTTATTAAATTTTTTGTTAGATAGTGTGAAGAACATTTAAGAGAATGGTGTAGGTCTCTTTTTCGTTAAAACCCCTGATTTTTCGAAAATTGCAAAAGTTCAAACTTTTTTCGGAGTCTTCCTACAACTAAAATATTAAAGATGGAGATTTTTCCCTTAATGCGATTTGTTCCTGAAAGATAGATTTTGAAATAACATCAGGCATAATTTTTCGAAAATTTGAGTACTTTTGGCGTACTTTTTAGTGAAGATATGTGCTGTTTCAGCACTAGTTTTTAAATTGCTCCAGCGAGTGATGATAAGGGCTGTGTCGTGTGTGCAGTGCGCCCTGTCGCTGCCCGAGGGAGTGGCTCGAGCTCTTCGCCCGCCCGCCGACTGCGCCATGTGCCGGGGCGTCCACGCGGTGGACCGCGTCGCAGCCATCTCCCCGCAGCTCTTCGAGCAGAGGTGGGTGTGCCTGTGGCCTCCCGCTCCTCCCTGCCTCCCAGCGCCGCCCTCCATGCCATTCCACACCCCACCCCACCCCGTTCCGCCATGACCATCCCGACCCTCCCCGACCCGTAACATTTTAAGTCGCAGTACAGTAGTCTGATATTTCATTACATTTTCAATTATTTTTTTACCTTAAATATGTTTGTCATTACTAATAAGGTAGGACTTAATGAAATGAATCAAATGGTGTTAATATTAAAATAGGTTTTATTGAAATTCATATTTAGGTTTTCATGTATTTAACAAGAAATTTTACTAAACACTAACTAAACACAGCAAATTGTTTCAGCGTTTCAAGATCACCATGGAAATTGTATTATTTGATCACGAAGTACTTTTGCTTAAAACTATTATTTAAAATATATTTCAAAAATCTTTTTCTATATTAAATATTGTAATTTACGCTATTTGTTGAAATAAAATTACTGATATAATCTAAAATTCTCTAAACAGTTAAAACAATGTATGACGTATTGTGAGAAAAAGTGTTCTGTGCAGGTTTTCTTAAATTCTGGGATCCCTGCCCTAAGCCATATACATGTTGAATTCTAAATTCTGGAATCCCTACCCTAACTTTTATTAAAGTTGAATCCTTGATATAGATGGAAATGAGCGCTTTTAGCAAGAATTGATAAGAAAATATTCGCTCCCGTGTAATAAAAACTATTTTCAAAAGCAAATGAGCTGTATAATTGACCTATTATCCTACATCGTGCTCTTCGTGAAGGCATCGATTTACTGCAGCAAAAACATGAAGGATAATTTTGATAACAATATTTCCCACTGAACTCTAGAAAACGTGCGCACATCGAGAAGTTATAATTACGTTACGTATTTATTTGTTCGCCCTGTGTGTAGACATATTATTGGTGTGCAGAGCTGTATCGTACTACACCTGATTTTCGTGAGAAATGATGAACCTATTGGGATCAGGATCCTATGCACCAATACACTTATAACATTTTCATTCTGAATCATATGCGGATAATTATTTACTACAAAGAAATGTTACTTCTTATGAAGGACCATAGTCCTTTATATGTTTTCTTGCTCCATATAGAATGTATAGACGACTCTCCGACACTATTTGTAGATGTTTGTAAGGTGTTACAAACATAAAGCCAATATTCATGTGGTGATGTTACTCAAATTTGGCAAATCAAACAAGTTGTCCTTGGGTGTCTTGCGATTTTTTATTATATTCTCTAAGTAGTTTTGAATTTCTCATCTGATATTTTTTCAAATATCCTCTCTCGAGACAAGAATTGAAAGTTAGTAAAAGTAGCAGATATATTTTTCCGGGCTAAGCTTACAAATATAATATATATTTTGTGTTTTTATATATTTTTTTGCTTCTTACATTGAATACCAATATACTTTTTCTTCATATTATTAATGGAATATAAAATGTGTCATTATTTTATATTCGCTGACACCGGTGGTTTCACGAAGACCAAAAAATTCAAAGTGGCATAATTTTTGTTCGCAGCCTAAAAGAAGAATCTTAAGAAACTTGCAGGCAACTTTTAAAAACGTCCATATCACCGTATTCAGATTTTATATTCACCCAAAGAAGTAGCGACAAAATCGGAAATCGTGGACCGACAAATTTTGGTGAAGTGTGTTCACATCGTGCTGAAATTCTCTAATACCAGTATTAGGCAAGTAATGAATTTCAGAATTTAGGTAATGCGACATGAGTTAATTGAAGTAATAAAATACGGTGTGAAATTTCTTTATTTTGACCGCTTTTATCTAAACAAAATTATTCCATTATTAAAACACTTGCCTAAAATTGAGTATCTAAATTAAAATAATGTAAGCAGATTCGTACTTAAGTATGCATATAACTGCTGCCAGAGATTTTGTTTGTGTCTGTCTATATGTGTGTGTGAGTGTGTGTAAATCGCCGTTATTACGGTACGTGGAGTAAATAACATGATTGTCCGTTGTTCTTCTTACTACTGTGCAGTAAATATCGAGGTTTACTTCCGGAACATTACTAAATAACGAGATAGAACACCATAGTCAAAAATGCTGATAGAACACGGTGGTAACGTGCCTTCTCACAATTTACAAAATACGATAAAAATAGAAGAGGCAAAGATTTTCAAAGTATAAAAAATATATGCAAAGAGTCCAATCTTAGAATAGGACAGGAAATGCATTATGATACTTACGAGTACATATAAATATTTCCGGAGGGAGGTGTTTTCCAAATACAATAGCTAGAAATACACAAAAAGACTAAACTTTATATTAATTACATATCTACATGATACAATTTTTCAGAATAAATGCCTTAAATCTATTCTGCTAACGTTGGCATACTAACATATAATAATAATAATAATAATTATAATTATAATTATAATAATAATTATAATTATAATAATAATTATAATTATAATAATAATTATAATTATAATAATAATTATAATAATAATTATAATAATAATATATTTTAATGTGAACATATTATAAAATAAATCACAGTTTATTTATTACAATTTTAAAATGTTTGACATGCTGAGGGAACGTATCTAGCCCCCCTGGACGTAATTTTTAATATATTTAACATAATCTAGTTTAAAATTGTACTTAACTAATTCTAATACAGGGAGAGGAAACATAAAGCACCTCAAAAGAATTATTCAGTATTTGCAAATATCTGGAGGAAAGAATAGATCAGATGTTTTTCATTCTGCTTTTGTATCGGGGATTTTTTCCGAGTCTGTAGTGAGTTGATGACTTTATGAAGGATAAGATTGTGTAAAAGGTTTGATAGGGACGCTTATTTGGTGTGTTATTTAATTTATGTTTAGATCATGATGTAGTTGTTAATTGCTATGTACCATGAAACTCTTGTTATTATCTTAAATATTTGTTTTGAAATACTTCACTCGGAAGGCTGAGCATCTGTCTATCCAAAGCGTTACGAGGTCGTCGCGGTCAGGCTCCATTTTTGCGACCTAGCTGAAGGCAGTACAGCAACGACTGCCAGTGGCACAGAGAGATAAATATTTCTTCGCTGCGCAGGAGGCCACGTCTTCTAATTGCCGATCGTTTTCGTTTTCAAGATCACTATGCGCGAAAGAAGTCGGATGTCAGCCCTTCCGAAATATATTTACGGAAGTTGGCTTGGAAACCTTTAAATGCGCAATTGTAAAAATTACTCCTTATCTAGCATGTCGAATTTTAAAATGTTTGGTAATGTTTTTTGCTGTCCTCACAGCTCGTTGTTTCAGTATGGTGTAGAAAGACTGGACACTCTGTATCAACAATTATTAATAGAAATAACAGAAAGTTAATGTTCAGAAAACTTATATAAAAATGATGTTATATATCATTTTAGAAGGAATTGTAATAATATAACGTTTCTCTCAATTAAATTGCCAAATAAAAAATGGAGAGCGGTGAGTTCAGAAACAGACTAAAAATATCGAAGAAATGCACTTTTCACAATAACCTATAAAGTTATTTCGAACACATTTCCGAGAGTTCTGTGTGCATTGTATCGTTAGTGGTCCGTTCAAATAACGCTTTCGAACGTATTATAAGGAACGTTTGGAGGAGGTTGGTGAGGAGAGCGTTTGCCTTCCTCGTGCTATATTGGAGTTGCATCAGCGTTCACGAACGTCTTCGCCATCTTCAAAGGCGTCTATTCAAACCGGTCTCACCGCAAACTATTCATATAGCACTGTTCTCTGTTTGACAGGCTGTAACTAAGCGTCAACAACCTTGTCTCAATGCACATATGCGCAGTGGCGGAACCAAGCGGGGGGCACGGAGTCCCTGCCCGCCAAAAAGTCTAGAATTTTCGTTTGTCATCTTCTTTTATTTATCAAAATTATTTAAATATTTGTTTATGCATTTTTATTAGGGAACTGCACATCCCGTTAAGGGCAAAGGCCGTCTGTCGGGCATGGAATTATTAATCCTTCTTTAATGAAGTGGTAGAATGATGATGAAGGGTTCAGTTTTTTTTAGAAATATGTAATTATTTTTTCAAAAAATATTGTATATTATCACACACACATACACTACAAAAATAATATTCAATATAATATCAAATGTTCGTTATTTAACAAAAATCTATTATGACCCCCCTCCCAAACGATCGGCTGGATCCGCCCCTGTCTATGCGCTTCCTTCAGCATCGAGCGCGAAAATGAAAAATGAAGGGGTGTTCTTTGTGCAAGAAGCCCTTGAATATTTAATGTATTTTCATTTTTTGACACTATTCTTTAAATTATTTAAATTATACATCTAGTTTCTTGTGAAAACGGTAAATTCTATGATTAACAATTAATGCAAGATGATTCCTTCAGCAAAGGCACTCACAATTCATTATCTTCTCAGCCCATAACAGAAGGATAATTTGCGATGGTGCAGTATAAAGGATAACTGTTACATGGACAAGGCACTGCCATTGAAAGTGATTGGGTATGGGTAAATGTCTTGCAGTTGTCCAGGGGGTTTTGAAAATGGTCTTGAATATGGATGATTTTTTACAAACATGAATATATAATCCAGAAAATTCAAAAGTCTCAGTTAAAACTAAAAACATGGCTCTTCTCTATTCCTGATAAAACAACTTTTGGTGTTAAATATTACGCTTTCTGTTATCTGTACCACTGTCTAAATGTTTACTTAATAACTTCAAAAGATTCATTAACTAACGTTTTAAATTTTGTGACACTGTTTGATTCATTCCTTGCTACAAAGCAATCGTGAAGAAGGGCTGAAATTGTGCCACGCATCGTGCAGCAGTAAACGACGCGCAGTAATTGTTGTGGCATTTGTTCATAGAAATTTATTGCAATAATTCTCACCACTTAAAATAAACAACACATGCTCTTAAATTTAGTATACTGCTATAACTTTGTTAATCACGTGAAAAATAAACAAATTATTAAATAAAATCTTCCCAAAAGACATAAAGGAATAATTTT